TCAGATCCAGATTAAAACTGGGCTGAATTCGTTCGGAAAGTGAGAGTATTTAAAATTTTTAGGTTATGTCTAACATTGCCATCATTGATGTTGAAACAATAATTACATGAGACCTAAATGTCTAAAACACACTCACTTTTAACCAGTTAGCCCGATTTAAAACTAGATGTACAGACTTTGTTGACCTGTAAATTGTGGATGAAATGAGTGAAAAGCTTAAAGAATATCACTCCCAACCTACATGATCATCTTCAGTAAAGGCAGTTGAATGTTCAAAAACAGATTGACACCACCACAGTATGATATGTTTACAATATTAATGCAGGAGTTTTTGTCTATAATGCCGTGTTTTAAATTGCTACACGTTGCACAGTTAAGCACATCTAGACAATTACAAACATTATTACAGACTATTCTAGTTGCACAACCCACAGGCATGCCGTCAAGCATCACTATAGAGAGAAAAGGTGATGAGGAGGGCGTCACGAATGCATCAGAGGCGGGTGTTGGTGGTAATGTGCAGCTGACAGACCCAGTGGTTCTGGTTAAGACTGGTATGATGTACATGCTGTCAGTTTACCACAGTGGGAGTGTTGCCTGTCACCTCCCTGCTTCCCCTGCCCGAATACATCATCTCCCCTCCATCAAAATCAGCAGAGTGCGAATCAATCTGTCACACAGGAGGACACACGCACACACAAATACACACTCTGGCTCCTAGAAAGAAGCTAGCGGGAAGGAAAGAAAATGATAGAAAAGGAGGAGGAATGATACAGTAGTTTAGGTGAAAGGATGACAGAGAAAGGAGGGGCGGTGATTACTGAAAGACAGCTGAGGAATGATGGCGGGAGTGGGGAAGAATACGTGAAAATGGAGATAAAGGACGGAGGAGCAGATACGTGGTGAGCAAACAGAGATACAGAGCTAGACAGCGGCAGAAAGGAGAAGCTGTCAGAAGATACTATCATACAGGGAGAGATCTGGGAAAATGCAACACTGCAGACGAAGTGGTGAAATGTAACAGAGAGGAGAGCCAGTGAGAGGGAGAATGAAAGAGTAAGAGAGTGAAAGGTCAGAGAAGCAGAGAGAAACCCAGTGGATGATTCATGGAGTTCAGCCTGTCGAACTTCTGCCTGAGGGGTTCGACGCTGCCTGCCAGCCGCTTCTCTCCCCTACTGCCTCACCCACAGCTTCTCTCACCTGCACACCCACTGCTGTCTATAATCTGTATAAGCCAGTAACTAGTGGCTTAAATGAAGCAGGGAGAAGGTTACAGGTGTTCTGGGTATTTTCTGTGAGTCAAGGACACCCTTGCATGCAGCAAACCTCCAATGCTTAAATCGATATTACCTTTGAATCAAATGACTGTGTGATGTGAAAGAGGTTGCTTGTAGTGCTGAAATCAATCAACTCTGCAGCTCTACTGCCTGGGCTTTTTAGCCTTTTTTGAAGTCTGTGCAGGCTCTGATAAACCCGCTATACGTCTCCTCCCCAGCACTAAATGGCAGCCATACTTAGCAACTAGCATGTGAAATTAGAACATCTAGCAGCTAAAGAGCCAGATATTTCTTCTCAGGTTTTGGTGGAAACCAAAATAGAGATCAGAGGAAAGTAAATATTGGACTCATCGGGTGGACAGAGGCACAACTCCAAATGAATGCTAATATTACGCTGTGTATGCTGGATGTGGGACTATCGTTACTGTGTATCAAGCAGCTTGTTTGGATGTTTTTCTGCCCCCTAGTGGGCAAAAATAAATAAATGCAGCTTTAAACTTAGAAAATCTGAGTGGCATTGTGTCAAGTGTCATCTTAGTCAAATCCACATATCAAACTGTAAGGAAAGGATCATTTTTATTATTGATTAATCAGTTTATTAGTTTAATTCATGGATTAATTCATGGATTAATTGTTTAGACTACAACATGTCAGAAAACAGTGGGAAAAGCCAATTTCCATAAATCAGAACTTAAGGTGATGTCTTCAAAAAATTTTATTATTAGTCCAAAACCCAAAGATATTCCATTTATAAATATACAGAGCAGAGGAAATCAAATAATCTTGATATTACATAAGCGTTGTTTGCTTTTTTTATGGTTGTTTGGTTAACGACAAATGATTAGTTAACTAATCATTTCAGCAGTTGTATGCATGTGTGCATGTCTCAGATGTGGTCAGGCATTAAGTGCACAAGTGCACTCTCACACCCTCAACAGTTTGTAATGGCCCTGGCCTCCACCGCCCAGCTGCCTCCATTAATATTCAATGTGCTGTCAGTTGCAGATGTGGCACAGACAGCCAAGTCGCCAGGGCTCACCTTTCCCACCGTCATGTCACCCGTGTTGAGTGGGGAGCGTGATAAGTAGGCAAGGAAGCGTTGGTGGTTGGCGGTTGGCTGTGGGTTAGGAGGAGGGGGGGTGCCGTCCGTCTGTCAGGAGAGAAAACATGTCCATCGCCCTTTGCACTGAGAGTGTGAGGAGGATACAGCCGTTTGCGTCTCCGACCTCCACTCTTGGCGCAGATGCCAGCGGTGCCAAAAATAAAGTGCATTAAAGCTGGCAGCCGAGGCCCGTTAAGTGATCACCATGACAATAGGCGGATGGCATGGTGAGATGACACCTCCGCGCAATCCTCCTCCTGCCCTGAGAGGCTGCGCTGCTGGACTGCTCAGCTGAGCTCTCTCTACGTCTCTCTCTCTCCTGTCGTTTATGTGCTCTCTCCTTTCATCCTCCTCTTCTTCTCTGATATGTCTCCTGGGAGCTCTTTAGGCTAACAGGCAGTGTTTAGTCTGTTTTTATGCCCGATCATTTTACATTTTAATTTCACTCTCCTCTGTCTCGCTGTTTTTCCTACCTCCCTCTCCCACCTGTTTGTTTTCCCACTGCGCCTTTCAGCCTGTTTTGTGCAATGGCCACACACAACTTTCTCAATCTTAAATCTTCTAATCTCACCTTTATCTGCCCTAATCAGCCTCCTCTGCTGCTTTAATCCCACAGAGCATGTCCCTAATGAGCTCTCCTCCACCTCCCGTCTCCTTTCCCTTCCTCCACCCTGCTCCTTATCTCGACCCAAGAGCCTGACGTCATTGTAATCTTCGGGATAACTTTAAGAGCACACAGATGCACACACCTGCACTCACGCATGCACAGAGTGAGGTCACACGTTAGCATGCAGATGCAGATCTTAGCAGCAAACTAGAGGAGAGCAGAAAAACATTGGAGAAGAAGGTGATGTCATGAAATTGCACAGAAAGATCCATAGGGGATCTCTGGAGTGGCTTTTGGCCTGTTTTCCCAACTTGTACAGATCCATAGCTGCTGACTGAGAATGAAGATCATGACCTGTGTAGTGTTAGGGCGCTTGTACTCTGCCGGGAACAGTTGCTTTCCTTCTCAGGTCCATCCATCCGTTGGCTGGCGTCTGAGCGGCATGCAACATGAATATTGATGCTCCTCGCTTGTTAACATTGTATGAAGCAGGACGCGTAATTGTCTGTCTTCTCAGCGCGACACGTCTTCTTCAGTGGGATGTGTGAGAAGGTCGGCCCACCGGGGAGCTCAGCTCTTCTCGAATCTCTTCACTTTAAGTGAGAAAAGTGGTGAGGGGGAAGGAGAGAGAGTCAAGCGCAGGCAAAACCAAAATTGCAACACACACTTTGTCAAGTGCACTGAAGTGCAGTTGTGAGTTGGCTGTGGGTTTGTTTCAGGCTTGTAGCGTTTTCTCTAAGGCTCTCCATTTCAGTGATACATGGCTTTTTTGAGGCTGGGCAGCAGTAAAACTCGTTTCTAAAGGTGTAGTTCGCAGTTTTTCTCTTTTTTTCTTCTATTGCACAGCTGCGGGTTCCACTCATGCCGAGGCAAATGTAGGATCCTCTCCCTTGAACTGAGAAATGAGAACAACCAAAGTGTGCATGCATTAGTGTGCAGCTGTCATATGTACACGCAAGGGAATATATTCCTCTTGGTATGATAGAGTGCATGTGTGTGTGCAGTGCACCTGCATACAGTATATAGTGTATTCTTACCCACTTCCATTTACGTATCTGTGTATGTAAGAGTTTCTGTATGTGATGTAAGTGTTTGGGAGCCATGAGATCGACAGGATTCCTGTAAGTGAGGCTGTGGTCTAATCCAGTCTTGAGTAGGCGCATTGATTTATTGAGCAACGCTTGGTAGTTCAGAGAAGCTTCCTGCTATATCCTAATCAGCACATGTGCATAAACAGAGACACACATACACACACACACTTTGTCTTTTATTCTTCAAGGAAACATGGAGAAATTGACTGCAGCTGGCAGGAGAGTGTCACTTTTTAGTCTAATGATTTGCACAGTGGGTGTATCTTCCAGTAAAACTTGTGTGTGTTTCTCCATTTGTTTTTCATTATGCAATTTTTCCTTTCTATGATTTTTTCTTTTGTAGTTCACCCAAATTATGAGACCAGGATGTATTTTATCACTCAAATGTAGTGGTGTCTAGCCTTGCAGAGTATTTTGGGGTAACCATCCCTGAAACTGATATCACTGATATACATAGATTTATATATATATATATA